GCGGCCCTCCCCGGGGGAAGGGGCTGCCTCCCGCACGCTCGTCCCTGGCTGGGTGCGGGGAGGCCCGGTGCGGGTCCGCGGACGGGTGCCACCCGCTCGCCCCTGCGGTGGTCCCGCCTAGTGGGCTCTGCCTCTGCCTGCCGCGAATGAGCGACAGGGCTGTGCCCCGGAGTTAAATCAGGAGGCTGACGCTGGCTCCTGGCTTCACCTTCTAGAGGTGGCGGCTAAATTTAGATGGGGCTGGGGCCTGTGTGTGTGTGTGCCCAGAAGCCAGTTAGGAGGAGAGACAGCCAGGCTCCCGGAGACGCCTTGTTATGCCCTGGGGAAGAGTGGGCGTTTAGTGGGACTGTGCGTCCCGGATCCATTCTGGGCTTCTGCCTTGCTCGGGGTCCTTGAATCTGAGGTTCCAAGTTGCTGATGCTGTGCTGGCATCCTCGGCAGCCCGCCCCCCCATAGGCTGACTTCCTCTGAGCGGCAGCTTCCCCTCCCCTGTTTCAGGAAGTAACCTCCCTTCCCCTCTGAAGCACCCCCCACCCCCCGGGCCCCTGCTGCCAGCCGCCCACCAGGCTCTCTCCCAGCTTCTGCACCCTGGGGCGCCTCAGGACCCTTGGGGCTCCTGCTCCCCCCGGGGTTGGGCCATGGAGGCAGGTGAGAACAGTTACGTGGAGAGACGCGCGGGCCTCTTTCTGTCTTGGGGCTTCCATGGTGGAGGGTGTGGGATGGCCGGGACTATCTCCTGCAGCCACTCTGGACCTCACTGGAGATACCTGAGGATTTGGGAGGTGGGAGGGCGCTGGGTTTTTGCCCTGGTTGATGGAGTTAAACTAGGAGAAAGGACACGTGAGTCTGGTGAAAAGACTGTAAAGTTTGGGTTTTGTGGGCTTTCCCAGAAGCCTGTGAGGTCCTCGTACAAACCTAGGAAGAGGCTCTTTAAGAACATTAACAGGATCGTGAGGTTTTTGTGATGGTCATAACTAGAGTAGGAAGGTCAGAAGCCCTTAAAAAGACTGTAAGGTTGGTATGATGTCATTGGGGACCATTACAGAAGAGTGTTATCGCTGTAATGGTATAACTGTGTAGGGAGTGAGGAGGGTGGGCCTTTCAAAGGGAAACATGAATAATCCGATGTCAGAGCAGTGTGCTATTTGCTGTGGGTGGTGGAGTGGAGTTTGGGTTCTTTGTGGGGAGGCTAGTACCAGTAAGTGGGGGGACCTAGTCTCTTTAATTGATGGCAGTGGGCCTGGTGATGTCACAGGTGGGAAAGTTCAGGATTGGCTAACTGCTTGTCCTGCCTTTCCTTGGAAGGACTGGGGGGGAGGGCATCCTGGTTGTCATGGCAACCGTGGCCTTCCTTGGTTCATCTTTCTCACGCTTGACCATTCCAGATGCAGTGAGTGAGGGGGGTGCCATGGCGGAGGAGCGGCCCCCCCGACTGGTGGATTACTTCGTGGTAGCTGGGCTTGCAGGAAACGGAGCACCCATCCCTGAGGATACGTGGGTTCCTGAACCCAGTGGGCCCCTACGCCCTCCCCGGCCGGCCGAGCCCATCACAGATGTGGCAGTCATCGCTAGGGCACTGGGCGAAGAGGTGCCCCAGGGCTACACGTGCATCCAGACTTCCGCTGGGGGCCACCCTTTAGAACTCAGCGCTGGGCTCCTGGGCGGAACTCAACCCGTCATCTGCTACCGCAGGGGCCGTGACAAGCCTCCCCTCGTTGAGCTGGGGTGTGTGCCCCTTCCCATCCTGGCACTAGGGGAGGTTGGGAGGGACTTGGTAAGGTAGGGAGAGGTAGGGTTATGGGACAAGGGAAGGGCAATGGGAACGGAAGCAGAGTGGGCCAGAGGCCAGGGGGGAGGGACTGAACTCCATCCTCTGGCAGATTTGGGTTCATGAGCTAGTGCTGGTGTTTGCTGGTTCTGTGAGCTTGGACAGGTTATTGAGCCTCTCGGGGCCCCTTTTCCTCGTCTCTAAAATGAGGATAATATGTCCTCATAGGGTGGTTTAGATTAAATGAGACAGGCCTAGCACAGAATCTGTCATTGGTAGCTTGTATTTATTTATTTATTTATATGAGTTGGGGTCTTACTCTGTTGCTCAGGCTGGAGTGCAGTGGCACAATCATGGCTGACCACAGCCTTAACCTCCTGGGTTTAGATGATCCTTGTGCCTCAGCCTCCTGTGTAGCTAGGACTATATAGGTGCGTGCCGCCATATCTGGCTAATTTTTATTTTTGTAGAGACAAAGTCTCGCTGTGTTGCCCAGGCGGGTCTCAAACATCCGAACGGAAGCAGTCCTCCTGTGTTGGCCTCCCAAAGTGTTGGGATTACAGGCATGACCTGCACATCTGGCCTATAGTTTGTGTTATTCTTGGTGTTTATTAATGAGGATGAGAGTCATGGAAGGCATGTGGGGTTATTACTGACCAAGAAGTAAAGTCAAGGGCAAAAGAGGGGGGACAGGATTCTGAAGGGCAGAGATCAAGAAGAGGTGGGAACTTGACAAGGCCAAGGGTGCAAGGTAGGCACAGGGGACTAGGCAGGCAGATCTGGCAGGATCAGGGTCTTTCTCCTCTACTCGACTTGACTTCCATCTCTGCTCTCTGTGTGAAGAGTATTGTATGAGGGAAAGGAGCGTCCCAAGCCTGGCTTCCAAGTACTCGATACGACACCCTACAGCCACTCGGCCAACCTGGCCCCTCCAGGCCCTGGGCACCCCCGCACCTACCTCACTTACCGGCGGGCAGCAGAGGGGGCAGGGCTGCACGCCCTGGGCATCACTGACCTCTGCCTGGTGCTGCCCAGCAAGGGCGAGGGCACTCCTCACACTTACTGCCGGTTACCCCGCAACCTCAACCCTGGCATGGTGAGTGCGGCCATGAGCTGGGACCTGGGTCACTTTGTGTCAGGGTGCAGACACTGGGCACAGAGGGCACCATAGGACCTGAACACACGTCTGGGTGGGCCCAGATGGGTGACTCTGGTCTTGAGGAGAATGTGATTAATGGGAGCTCTAAAGGCAAAAGGTCATTCAGGGGTGGTGGAGAGAAAATGGACCCCAGAAACCTTTGTCAGCCATGTATCTATCTGCTTCTCTCTTGTCGTTTTGGGGCAGTGGGGCCCAGCAGTGTACCTGTGCTACAAGGTGGGCCTGGCAAAGGCCAACACACTGGTGTATGAGGCAGGTGAGTGGCCCCTTTGACCCTCTGTGTCCCCCTGGGCTGGCACTGTCAGTGTCCCCAGAGTCTCCTTGCCCTTTACCACTTGGCCCTTCTCCGGGATTCCCTGGTTTCTTCCCCTGAAGTCTGACAGACCCTCCTCCTTTTGGGGCCCCCACTCTGCCGGGGTGCAGAGCTGCTGGGCCGTTACCCAGAGGAGGACAATGAGGCGTTCCCGCTGCCCGAGTCAGTGCCCGTCTTCTGCCTGCCCATGGGGGCCACTATCGAGTGCTGGCCTGCCCAGACCAAGTACCCCGTGCCCGTCTTCTCCACCTTTGTACTCACGGGTGCCGCTGGTGACAAGGTGGGTGTGTGGAGTGTGGTGAGGGGTCCCAGCTACGTGGGGCCTGCCTGACGGCCCCTCTGCCCCCTGCCAGGTGTATGGTGCCGCCTTGCAGTTCTATGAGGCGTTCCCCAGGGCCAGGCTGTCGGAGCGGCAAGCACGGGCGCTGGGCCTGCTGAGCGCCGTGGAGCGGGGCCGGGCTCTGGGGGGCAGAGCCGTGCGCAGCCGGCGCGCCATTGCTGTGCTGTCCCGCTGGCCGGCCTTCCCTGCCTTCCGGGCCTTCCTCACCTTCCTGTACCGCTACTCTGTCTCGGGCCCCCACCGCCTGCCCCTGGAAGCGTGAGCACGGCTCCCCTGACGCTGGGGAGGGGTTTGGGAAGTACTGGGAGAGGGAAGAGATGAGGGTGCAGGTGGGGGGGAGCTGGGTGCAGGGGCAAGGAACAAGGCTGTGTGTAGTTGTATTGTTGGTCTGTTGTGAAAATGCCGCCGGATGAGGGGTGACTGGAGCCTGAAGTTCAGTCTCCACTTGCTAGTTAGGCTCTGGTGAGGGGTTGTGCACACTCAGAGAGATCTCTTTTTTGATCTGCACCAATTCTGTGTCTAACGAGGCTCTGATGGCTGACACAGATCTCGAAGTGGGGTTCGGGGGAGTAAGGCTCCAAGGACAGGTAAAGGGATGGGGGATGTGGCGGAGCTGCGGCAGGGTCAGACAGGCTTCTGCTCTGACCTGCTCTCCTCTGTCCCCAGGCACATCTCCCACTTCATTCACAGCGTCCCCTTCCCTTCCCCACAGAGACCCCGCATCCTAGTGCAGGTGAGAGCTGGGCTGGGGCTGGGCTGACGAGGGAGGGGGCTGGCAGGGGCTGGCCACCGCCTCCTGACCCATGGCTCTTCTGCCCTTCAGATGTCTCCCTATGACAACCTGCTCCTCTGTCAGCCTGTATCCTCACCCCTGCCCCTCAGGTGTGTGCCCAGGTTGGAGGGAGGGGAGCCTTAATGACCGAGGACACGGTGGGGGGGCGGTTGTTGAAATCTGTGCAGGCCGGGCCTAGGTGGCATCTGTGTCTGGCCTCTGGGGAAGGGTCTCCGGAGTCTCCTGGTGACTCCCCTCCCCACCTCGGCCTTGCCCGCAGTGGTGCCAGCTTCTTGCAGCTGCTGCAGAGCCTGGGCCCTGAGCTGGCTGTCACGCTGCTGCTGGCCGTGCTCACGGAACACAAGCTGCTGGTCCACTCACTGCGGCCCGACCTTCTCACCAGCGTCTGTGAGGCGCTCGTCTCCGTGAGTGCCCCTGCCCAGCCCACCTTTCCCTGAGCTGCTCTTCTTCCTGGCGCCCCCATTCCGGCTTTCCCTCACTTTTCCTTCCTTGGGATGGGTCCTCAGCCCCTGGCATGGGCAAGCCCCTGTGGACGTACAGCTTCCATCAGGGTTCTTCTTGGGAGCCTACCTTCCTCCAGCCGCCTCTCTCCACAGCCTCCACCTCCCCAAGGCCAAGGCCCTGTCTCCCCTGTGCCCCCTACTGCTGCCTCAGCCCCCACTCACTGGCTTTCACTGCCTGATGCTTCAGATGATCTTCCCACTGCACTGGCAGTGCCCCTACATTCCGCTGTGCCCGCTGGTGCTGGCAGACGTGCTGAGCGCCCCTGTGCCCTTCATTGTGGGAATCCACTCCAGTTACTTCGATCTGCATGACCCGCCTGCGGATGTCATCTGCGTTGACCTTGACACCAACGCGCTCTTCCAGTAAGAGGCTGGGTCTCATTTGGGGGCTGCCGGGAGGTGGGCACGAAGGGCCTAGTGTGTGGGGTGTTTTGGGCTCAAAAGAAGCCTCAGGCAGAAAGCGAGGAGGCTAGCACAGAGCCCGTCACCTTGTCTCCTTATGCTCATCTCACAGGACTGAGGAAAAGAAGCTCCTCTCCCCTCGGACCCTGCCCCGCAGACCCTACAAGGTTCTGCTGGCCACACTGACAAACCTGTATCAGCAGCTGGACCAGAGTGAGAAGCCTGGGTTGGGTGGGAACCGGGGAACTGCCATTGCCCTCAGCCCTCCAGTCAGGAGACCTGTGGGGAGCTGGGGAGTCCTTAGGAGATGAGAGGAGTCAGGAGTAGAAGTGAGGGGACCCAGATTCCAGGTGAAGCCAGAGGGACGGGCAAGCAGTGTTCCTGGACACATTGGGAGGCTGACTGAGCGTGGCCCTGGGGAGGCCTGGAGTTTTAGCTGGGGGTGATATTTTAGTTGCTGTTGGAGCAAGGTGTGTCGGAGGCTGGAGACGGAGGCTGTGTGGAGGGCAGGGGTGAGACAGGCTCCCTGGGAGCCAGCCTGACTCTCAGACCTCCCTGTCCCCAGCGTATACTGGACCCGAGGAGGAGGCATCCCTGGAATTCCTGCTGACAGATTATGAGGCAGTGTGCGGCCGCCGGGCCCGGTTGGAGCGGGAGGTCCAGGGCGCCTTCCTCCGCTTCATGGCCTGTCTGCTCAAGGGCTACCGGGTCTTCCTGCGCCCGCTCACCCAGGCCCCCTCTGAGGGGGCTCGTGATGTCGACAACCTTTTCTTCCTGCAGGGTAAAGAGGTCTTGTCTGTGCTTGGAGGTGGTGTCATGGGAGGAAGTGGCCAGGGCCTGGGCTCCTTGAGGAAAGCTGGGGGATCAGAGCCCCTCAGTGGTGTGTTCCTTCAGGTGGCAAATGCTCTCATGGATGTCTGCTCTGAGCCATTCATGCTTCTGCCCTTGGGAGGACAAGGGGTGCAAAGATGAACCAGCCGTGGCTCTGCCCTCTGGGAGCCCTGGGCTTGGGTGGACACAGTGATCCCTGTGGTGACGGCCCAGGAAAAGCTCTGTTCAGGGACCCTGCCCTCAGGAGCCCCCACTCTGAGCCAGGGGGTGCACACAGACAAAAAGAGGGATTCCATGGGATCACAGCTGAGCTGGTCAGCTCGGTCTGGGGGTAGGCATGCCAGAGGGGCCAAAGAGATGATGGCTTTGATGGCCATGCTCCTGAGCAGACAGAGAGCCTCGAAGGGGTTCAGGATAGGCACGGCTATGGTGGGGAGCCATGGTAAGTTCACTCCTCTGCCCCATTCTTACGCCCCTCAGGATTCCTCAAGTCCCGGGAACGCTCCAGCCACAAACTGTACTCTCAGCTCTTGCACACACAGATGTTCTCGCAGTTCATCGAGGAATGTTCTTTTGGCTCAGCTCGGCATGCTGCCCTCGAATTCTTTGACTCTTGCGTTGACAAGGTATTGGGCCCTGTCTCTTCTCTGTGTGCTTGTTGGCCTCTACTCTCCTCATGGTCATCTCTGTTGCCTTGGGGCCATTTTATTTAGTTAGTTATTTATTTGAGATGGAGTCTCACTCTGTCCCCCCGGCTGGAGTACAATGGCACGCTCATGGCCACCCCAGCATCGGCCTGCTGGGTTCTGGCCATCCTTCCACCTCAGCCTTCCAAGTAGCTGGAACTACAGGCGTGCGCCATCACACCTGGCTAATTTTTTGATTTATTGTAGAGATGAGGTCTTGCCAAGTTGCCCAGTTGCCCAGGCTGATCTCGAACCTGTGGCCTCAGGCAACCCTCCTGCCTTGACCTCCCAAAGTGCTGGGATTACAGGCTTGAGCCAACGTGCCCGACTTCCCCCAGAGCCATTTTAAACAACTCTAGATACAAACTGGGACTGGGATGGCATCTGTGGAGTTACACAGCACACAGCCTATGCAGCCGTATATGGCTGGCTTCATATACTTACTAACGCATTTTCCTCCCATTCCTGATTCCTTCTGCCCAGGCTGGGCCACCTTCCCTGTGGCCATGCTTTCCTGGGAGATACCATCTTCTGGACACTCTGGGCCTGCTGCCTGCCCACTGTCTTACTGCTCACTCTCTCCCAATCCAGGTCCACCCAGAGCAGGAGAAACCTGAGCCCACATCCTTGGTGGAGCTGGAGGAGCTGTCAGGAAGTGAGCTCACCGTCTTCATCACGCCTCCCGAGGAGCCTCCAGCTCCAGAGGGCAGTGAATCCACTCCCCAATACTGGTGAGAGTCTCTCGACCCCTCGCTTGCTCCAAGGCCCCCCACGCTGCTGCAGTCTAGCTTGTCTGGCCCTGTGCTGGCTGTCCCTGACGTTGCCTCCTGCTGCCCTTCTAGCTACGACGGGTTCCCGGAGCTACGGGCTGAGCTATTTGAGTCTCTTCAGGAGCAGCCTGGGGCCCTGCCTGTGCCCGGCCCATCCCGTAGCGCCCCCAGCAGTCCTGCTCCTCGTCGTACCAAACAGGTAACCCATGGATGGACCCCATTGTGGGACCTGACTCAGACTGAGGGCACTGCTTCTGCTTCCAAGTCTATGAAAGGGGCCTAATCATAGTACTCACCCTATAGGTTGTTAGGAGTTTAAATGTGCCTGGCACATAAAAAACACTGTGTAAGCTGGGCGCAGTGGCTCATGCTTATAATCTCAGCACTTTGAGAGGCTGACATGAGAGGATTGCCTGAGCCCAGGGGTTCGAAAATAGCCAGGGCAACATGATGAGGCCTCATCTCTACAATAAATAAAAAAATTAGCTGGGATGGTGGTACGTGCCTGTAGTTCTAGCTGTTTGGAAGACTGAAGTGGAAGGATCACCTGAGTTCAGTAGGTCGGGGCTGTGGTGGTGGTGAGTGTACCACTGCACTCCAGCCTGGATGAGAGTGAGACTCTGACTCAAAAAAAAAAACAACAAAAAAATAGAAGTACAATCATTAGTGAATTAAAACATGTATATAAGGAAGATCCCTACATAAACAATAAGAGCTGTTGCTGCACAAACTTTTGTTTTTTTGTTTTTTGAGTTAGAATCTTACTCTGTCACCCAGGCTGGAATGCAGTGGCACACCCATGGCCACTGCAGCCTTGAGTTTCTGGGCAGAGGTCATCCTTTCACCTCAGCCTTCCAAGTGGCTGAAATTACAGGCATGTGCCACCACGCCTGGCTAATTTTTTGTTTATTGTAGAGATGAGGTCTCACCAAGTTGCCCAGGCTGGTCTTGAACCCCTGGGCTCAGGCAATCCTCTCACCTAGGCCCCCAAAGTACTAGGATTATAGGCGTGAACCACCATGCTTGACCTGCACAAGCTTTCTGAAAGTAAAAAGGATCCAAGTTGATTAATTTCTGATTGACAGAGTTTTGTTTCTCTTTTTTTCTTTTCTTTTATTTTTTGAATTGGAGTCTCATTCCGGAACTACAAGTGTGTACCACCATGCCTGGCTAATTTTTCTTGATTTATTGTGGAGACAAGGTCTTGCCAAGTTGCCTAGGCTGGTCTTGAACCCCTAGACTCAGGCAGTCCTTTCACCTCTGCCTCCCAAAGTGCTGAGATTACAGGTGTGAGCCACCACACCTGGCCCCTTTTTTCTTTTTTTTTTTTTTTGAGTTGGAGTCTCACTCTTTCGCCCAAAATGGAGTGCAGTGGCCGCTCCCGGCCACCGCAGCCTTGACCTGCTGAGCTCCGGTGATCCTTCCGCCTCAACCTTCCGAGTAGCCAGAATTACAGGCGCTCGCTACCACGCCCGGCTAATTTTTTGATTTTATTGTAGAGATGAGGTCTCGCCTGCCCAGGCAGGTCTCGAACCCGCGGGCTCAGGCAAACCACTCACCTCAACCTCCCAAAGGCGCGGGATTACAGGCTGAGCCACCGAGCCCGGCTCCTTTTTTCTTTTTTGAGTTGCAGTCTCAGTCTGTCACTCAGACTGTAGGGCAATGGCACGCTCCTGGGCACCACAGTCTCGACCTTCTGTGCTCTGGCCATCCTTCCGCCTCAACCTTCCAAGTAGTTGGAACTACTGGTATGCGCCGCCACACCTGGATAATTTTTTTTTTTATTGTAGAGATAAGGTCTCGCCAAGTTACCCAGGCTGATCTTGAACCCCAGGGCACAGGCAATCCTCTTACCTCGACCTCCCAAAGTGCAGGGATTATAGGTGTGACCTACTATGCTCACTGTAGCATACTATTCTCAATGCTTTACATGGATTAACTCATTTAATCTTCATAACACTATCAGTGTGGTGCTGTTATTCCCATTTTACAAATGAGAAAACTCAAGATGACGGTAATGTCCAAGGTTACACAATAAATGTATATTCCTAGTTAATGTATATACTTATTTATTGCTGTCTTTACCTTTGAAGATTATAATTGCTTTGGTAATTCTTAGCTCTAGAATTTACTTGTACAGTATTTTTTTTTTTTGAGTTGAGATCTTGCTCTGTCACCCAGGCTAAAGTACAGTAGTA